GTTGGAACACACATAAAGAAGTTTACACGGTTGCGTGCAAGTAGAGGCTTCAGAAAAATAATAGCCAATGGTGCAAAAGGCATACAGTACACCATTATGCATACAATCTTGAAAGAATAACCGTGTATTAATTTTTCTTGTTAATATGATTTCCAACATAGAGAAAAGTTATAATAATTGTATATAAATTGTTACAATTCTGTATATTTTATTCCATTGGTTTTATCTTTGTTATATATATATATATATATATACATGGTCGGTCATATGTGTTATATATATTATGTATCTATGTAATCTTTCTTTGAACCATTTGAGAGTAACTAGGACACATGATGTGCTTTTATCCCTAAATACCCATGGATTTATATTTCATAAAAAAGGATAATCCTTTATATAACTATAATATAATGACCAAAATCAGAAAATGTGAAATCAATCCAAAACTACTATTGAATTCAGAGTGCACAGTCAAATGTCATTATTATTATAATATTGTCTTTTATGGCTATTTGTTTTCAAGCCCAGATCCAATTTAGGATCACTTATTATATTTAGCTGCCATTTCTATTTTGTATCTATTATTTTTTCAAGACATTCTCTTATTTAATGAAGATAAAATTTACATACAGTGGAATGCACCGATCTTAAGTATACAATTTGATAAAGTTTGAGGAGCCTATTTTAATGTTTGTTAAAAGTGAATAGAGGCCTTGAAAATATTACTATCTCACAACAATTTAAATATCTCCTTTTCCATCAATAACTAAAATACTTGAAACTAATAATCTTTACTACTGTTTTATGATAAATGCATTTAATAAACTGAGTACAACTATTCGTAAATATATTTTAGAATTTATCATTAATGTATAGAAACCTAAGTGACTATTTCATGACACTATTAGAAAAATAAAGGCACAGGGAAGGCAAATGACTTCCTTAAGTTGATAGAACGATCCTGCAGCAGATCTGAAGATTAACTAAGGGGTTCTATCCGGTGCCAAATTCTCAACCTGAAGCGACAGGAACAGCTGTGACATCTGGCAGCTGGTGTCATATAAATTACATGGCCAGGACGTCAATCAATTCAACTGGTCTTAATAAATGAGAGAAGCACATCTGGCACAGATTCGGACTTTCACCCTGTTCAGAGCAGTCCTTACCTGGTAAAATCAATACTCTATCACTGGAGGCCAGAGGACGGCCGTCTTTGTACCACGTCAGCGTGGGAGGAGGAGCAGCGTTTGTCTCACAGTAGAGAGAAATGGGGTTGTTGATGATCACATCCTTGGCTTCTCCACTCCTGCCGGTATCCAGCGTGTTTCCCATTTCCCAGAGTTTCTGAAAACTTGGAGGAACTACGGAGGAAAGACATGGGAGTTTGGACACATATGCATGCCAGTTTCAATCCATTCAACGAAGACCTTGGCTGTGTTCTCACGAGAGTGATATATAAATGTAATAAATTAGACAGTGTGACAATATTTTCAGGTATTTCTACACCTACCAGCTCTAGCTGTGAGCCAGAAAAGTAGGAGACAGAAGCTGGAGCTGGTTCCCCTGGGAAGAACAAGTACAGGCTCTGAATGCTATGCTCACCCCCTGCTCCCCTTCCCTGTCAATGCTGCCTGCGCTCAGCAAGGAGCTACTAGAACAAGCCTGGCGAAGGAATGCCATCATAGCAGGAGAAACATATTTTGAAGAGCCATTAAAAAATAGTGGCTCAGTCGAGAGCATTTTCCAGTAATTTCTCTTACTAAAAAAGCTAAAGGAGTTATGATGTCAAGATTAATAAGTCCATTAACTAAAACAGTAGGATAATCTCAAACTTTTCTGGGGAACACATAAAAACTTTCTGGAAGGTGATTTGCTTGTACATCAAAAATATTGAAAATGTGCGTAACACGTGACCTAAAATTTCCGCTATTGGTAACGAATAAATGAAAGAAATCAAAGATATACAAAAGTTATATGTAAAACCACCCAGTGAAACATTACATACAAGTAATGAAAACTTGGAAATGACTCAGACATTCAATAACAGGTATCAGGTTAAATAAATACCTGGATACTCAAGTGCTAAAACAGGTATAGTTATTAAAAATCATAGAAAAAAAATCATGTTGAGAGTAACTATCAACAATAATAGCAGGTGTCATTTCTTAACCATTTTTCTAAGAGTTTTACATACTTTATCTTATTTAATAGTCACCACATTCTATAAAACATTCATTTTCAAAACAAGGAAACTGGGGTTTAAAATATTTAGGTAATTTACCCAAATCAAAGGTTTTTTTTGTAGCCACAAAGTTTTTAGAAGCCAAAAATCATCATTCTATTCCAAGTCTGACTACTTTAAATTCTGCATTTTATCTTTTCTTTCCATATAAATGCTACTTGACAAGAAAAAAAGAAAACGCCCTGGGCTGTGTGCTCAGTGGTTAGAGCGGCAGCCTGCACACAGAAAGGTTACTTGTTTGATTCCCGGTCAGGGACATACCTAGGCTGCAGGTTAGATCCCCGGTCCTAGGCCTAGTTCCTGCCGGAGGCAACCAATCAATATGTCTAACATCAATGTTTCTCTCTCTCTCTCTCTTTCCTTCCCTCCCTTCCTCCCTTCCACTCTCCCTAAAAATCAATGGAAAAAAATATCCTAGGGTGAGGATTAAAAAAAAAAATTTAAAAAAAGAAAGCTTCATGATATAACATTGGGGGAAAACTAATGTAGCAAAGAAGTATGGATCATGTGATCCTAATTTGTAACTGCAGTTTACATTTACAAAATAGAACAGAAGGAAAAATATCAAAAGGAAACACATAAAAATAACTAAAGTAATCCTGAATAATGGGATTATTTTTTTCTTTGTTAATTACTCAAGTCCAGGTTTTCAATAATGAATTCATATTATTGTCAACAGAGAAGAAACTATTTAAAATAAAACCAAGCCAAATCTCTTTTTCATTGCTTAGACATATCATGTAAATTAAATGATATACAATAAGCACATCAGTATTACCTTGTATATTCACATCAAAATCCAGCTCATCTTCACCTGCAATATTAGATGCCACGCAAGTATATCGTCCAGTGTCTGATATTTGAGCTTCCTTTATTTGAAGTGTGTGTCCATTGGCAGCAATATTAACATGATCATCTGATTTAAGGGGCTGTGATTCAATTATAATTAATGTTAGCATTAAGTACTCTAATAAATCCTCTAAGAGACCATGCTGTTGATAATTTGTATAATTCAGAATAAACAGAATTAAATTTTATGTGAAATACTCAAAAGCATATCTTTTATTATATTTTGTCAAAAATGCTAGAGCATTTTAATGAAAGGTTGAGGGCATTAACATAATCTGATTTCATGTAGAAGTCACTGTTCATTTAGAAATATCATCATCACTTCATAAATAAAAAATTTTAACCTAGAGATATTTATATTATGATGTTTTATTGAAAGTATTACTGTACTTAATGGAATATTAACTCACAGATATTTATATTATGATGTTTTATTGATAACATTACCTACAGTTAATAGGGCATTTTTCATCTTCTACATATTCCTGTTTACACTAAGTTCCCTCTTATTCCTTGAAGATTTTAGTTCCTGGATCAATGTCACTTCGTCTAATGGTACTTTTCTCATAATTCTTCGTGATTTCAGTATCTACATAGTTATCCAATGCTGTGTGCATCCAATGCTGTGACCTCTTCTCTAATTGTTTGTCCTCAACCCTCTCTCAGCCACTCAACAGGTAAGTCATACCTAGACCTTATAATCACCCATAACTGCCCCACTTCATAGTCTCAGTTTCACGTTCTCACTCTCTGACCGCCACCTCCTAACTTTCTAAGTCACTTCTAGCATCCCAACTCCAATAAATTTTTGATCCCCTGGGAGGACCCACAATCCACGGGCCTTGCAATGTTATCAGTGCCTCTTACTCTCCTCCTGATCTCCATTCCCTCCTGACCCAGAGAAGTCTACTATGGCAATCGATCCTTGTATAAACCCTCAACTCCCTTGCCTCTGTCCCTTTATTTTACTTCCCTAACCCTGGTTAATATCAGTCTCTGTCCATTATGAGCTTCCCTGGTCTACTCAAGGACATCCCTCCAGCAACTGTGTCCTCTCTTACCTACATCATCAGCAATTTATTCTTTTCCACCAGATTATTTCAATCTACATACAACATACTGTAACTTCCCCCATTAAAAGAAAACTCTCTTCCCCTCACATCCTGCTACCACCTTCATACCAGAAACCATCAACTCTCTTCTGGACCACTACCATAAACTCAATCTAGACCATTCTTTTGTTCTCTCAATACAGAAGCAATATAATCCCTTTAAAACCTTAAATCAAAGCATATCACTGTTGTATTTAAAATTTTCTAGTGACTTCCCATCAGAATAAAGGACAACTGGTCTACCAGCAGTATAATCTGGCATTCTATTAATCTTCTTCTGTGTCCTCATGTGTTGGGGTCCAACCCCAGCAGGTCCAGAGGTCCCCAAAGGTGTGGACGGAGTCAGCGAAGAAGGAATGACATGGAGACAGCATTTAGTTAATCAGCAGCCTAGCCAGGATCTCTAGCCAGGATCTCCAGCCAAGTTCTGTATTTTATTGACTTGTTACATCTGTATTTATGCCAGTTGATTTTAATCCTATCAATTTCTATCCCAAGGGTTAGGGCGTTTCTTATCTCCATTCCAGGGAGTAAAGATTATGTAGCTTAAGCGTGATTGTTCGTAATTAAAGTGATTAACTATCCACCTGGCACTTAGTTAAAGGGTTTTATTCCCTCCCTAATTTCAGGGAAAAACCCCTACCTGGGGAAACAACCTTTCTCAGAGAGGTGACCTTGGTTAAAACACATAGTGCCAAAAAGGGGAGCAAACATATTAAGAACAGTATGCCGCACTAGCCTGCCAGTCTGTAGTCCCAGGACAACAGAATCTTGTAGGTTAATGCAAGGGCCAGCTGGGGCTGAAGAATTTCCAACAGGTTTCCAGACCCAGGGAGCACCCTCACTCAGCCCTAATATCCCATGAGTCGTTTGACCTCTTCGCTCTGGGCCTGCAGGGTCTCACTTGCATATTTCTGGAGGAGTTCCATCTTCTTCCTTCGCACAAGTGCCTCCTCGATCTCTTGCTGTGATGGCACAGGGACATGGGCGATGAACTTCTGCTACTCATCTTCACCTCCTTTCCCCTGGCTGCCTTCCTCATCAGACTCCTCCTCCGTGACAGCGTAGATGTTGATTTCTTCCTCCTCTTCCTCTTCCTTTTCTCCTCTTGCCAGCCGAGCCTCTCTCTCTGCTTTCCACTTTTCCACTAACTGGGCTCTGAATTTCTTTTCATATTCCTGTTCCAAAGGCACAATAACACCATCATCTTCATCTAGGTAACCGTAGTATTCAAAATCAATTGCCTTCATGAGCTCAGCACGTGTCTTTCTTGGAGGAGGAAGAGGTTCTTTTTCAAATAGCTCTCTAACACCAGGCAAATCTTTTGCTGCTCCAAAGTATTTGTAATCTCGATTTCCCGGGACTTCTTTGCCTTCATGATCCAGCATTTTAGGGCCAACTTTTACATAATCAGGACAACCCAGCTCCTTTACCCGGACCTCCCAGTGTCCTTTCTCTCTTAGCAATTTGTTAATTTCATCATTCAGGTCACGAATTTGGAATTCACCTAAACCAGCATTCTGAATTTGAGCCACTTTTTTAGAGATCTCTCCAATGATCTGTCGTCTCCACTTCTCAGCTTTGGGCAACTCAGTCCATTCTGAGGCAAGGAAGGGTCTTCGTTCCTTCACTTTTCCCTCTTCCAATTGAGCTTGGCGAAATCTTGCTAAGGCCGTCATGGCCTTTTCTGCATTTCGGACCATGGTGCAAGTGAAGGGGGCCGCCCTCGGACCGCGTGGCCAGAGAACTTCCCGGCCTCAGGGGAGGCCAACCCTGGCTGTTCGGGCACCAATTGTTGGGGTCCAGCCCCAGCAGGTCCAGGGGTTCCCAAAGGTGTGGACAGAGTCAGCGAAGAATGAAGGACATGGAGGCTGCGTTCAGTTGATCAGCAGACTAGCCAGGTTCTGTACTGGTTCTCCAGCCAGGTTCTGTTTTTTATTGTCTTGTTACATCTGTATTTATACCAGTTGATTTTAATCCTAGCAATTTCTATTCCAAAGGTTAGGGCCTTTCTTATCTCCATTCCAGGGAGTAAAGATTATGTAGCTTAAGTGTGATTGTTCGTAGTTAAAGTGATTAACTACCCACCTGGCATTTAGTTAAGGTGTTTTATTCCCTCCCTAACTTCAGGGAAAAATCCCTACCTGGGGAAACAACCTTTCTCGGAGAGGTGACCTTGGTTAAAACACATAGCGCCAAGAAGGGGAGCAAACATATTAAGAACAGTATGCCATATATGCCAGGTCCCTTGAAACATATGCTGTGCAGATGTTTCTTTCCTGCAGCGACTGTGTCAAGCAGTAAGGATGGACCAGCTTCCGGCACTCATGGGTCACTGCACTCCAGCAAAGATGTCTGAGGGCCTTGGCCCTTGAGATTCTCTCTACTTTAGCATATTTTCCTCTCATATCTGATGTTTGCTTCCTTTACTTTCTTATCAGCGAGGCCTTCCCTGTATAAATAAGAGATCACACTCCCCCCACTCACTTTTCTTCTTCTTGACTGAATTTTCTCCACAACATCTACCCCATCTGGTACATTATGCATTTTACTGTTATGTTTGTTTAGTTTTTGACTCCCTAAAGTTCATATGAACAGAGATCTTTCTATTTTTCCTTCATAGCTGCACCCTCCTCACCTAAAACAAAGTCTTGCCAATAATATGATATGATCAAAAAATAATGTAGAATGCTAATGGAGAATATAAAAGTAGGATAATTTAAAATTTCTATGCTAAAGAAAAAACTTTAAAGTGTGAATAAATAAAACCCAAATGCTATCTCAAAACTTTTTGGGTCTAACATTGGCTATATTTTTAGTGATGTTCTCAAAATCTCTGTTTTGTTCCAGTGGTGTTGCTTATCTGAAGAATGAAATAACAGAAGGATATGGGAAATAAACAACAAGAACAAAAACCAGAGTGCTTTTTTTTGTACACATTCAAGGGGACCAATCCCAAACCCTAAAAAATTTAACAGCTTAAAGTATAACAATTGGATCAATTTCAGAGTCTGTGTTTGAAACTGTAATTTAACTACTCAGTATAAAATTCAAAACCACACAAAACTGTCTTATTCCTAGTGCAATTCTAATCATTATCAAATTTTTATGTGTGCGTGTGTTTGCTTGTGTTTATGTGTGTGTGTGTGTGTGCATGTGTAGTAGTCACAATGAATGAAAAGCCTTTAGATAAAATTAGAAATAAAATATGATTTGCAGGTGAAAGGAATTAACAAGTAAACTCCTATAGATTTAATACTGTACCATGAAGTGTGCTTGCACTTAGGAAAGAAACTGTAAACAGAACATGGTGGGAGTTCCTTATTTTTCCTTTTGTAATGGCTTCCAGATGAAACTTGCTTATTTTATGAGATGATTTTTTTTAGTTGCCAGTATTGCAAAATCCATCTGTGATCTGAAAAAATAAAGCTATATCTTTCTGCATCTTAAAGCATGACTCGTACCCGAACTGCCACAACTGGATGTAACTGACCACTTGGTTGATTTTGTGTAAAACAGGACAAAGATCAGCTTAGTAAGCACAATATGCACAGCAACGAAAAATCATCTATTTTGGTTTAAACACCAGCATATATTTCTTTAAAAGATGCGTGGAAGAAGAATGAGAAATGAGGGTATGTGGTCTGAGAGATCACATAACTGAAAGATGTGCTTTTTCTTTAAAAGTTTCTCATTGCCCCTAATTAATTATGTTGGGCACTTAATCATTACATCTAGCTTTCCCCTGCATCTTGGAAGGTTAAAAATGTTACCTTTTGTAAAAGAGTTAAAGATGTTTACAGAAAGTTCTGATGAAGCTCAGTCCCCATGTTATGCCTGTCATAAGCTGGGTTAGCACTGTTTTTTTTGTGTTTCTTCTCTATGAAGTTTATTTACTATGTAAAACCAAAGAACACTAAAACCGTTCCCCAGTGGGAAGGTGGTTGAATTTTCATGGACAACTGCTAATGTACACAAAGACAACCCTTGTCAATGATGGAATAATACTAATATTGTTGAACACAGTTAAAGTTTTTTGGTTTTTTGTTTTTTTTTGCAGATTTATATTCTTAGGAGCATGAGATTGTGCTAGTTTTAAGACCACATTGATTCTCTGAGTTACTTGTGTCTGTTTTACTAGTATTATTGTTTAATTGACCACTTTAATCGGTAAGAAACCATTAGCAAATGAAAAATCTTGTGACTGGCCTGTCCATCCTTGTACCAGCTGAGAGAGGCTGAAGGAATTGCATAGGCTTCACATTCCAAGGTCAGGGTGGTGTTTACTTTGATCTTCACTTCTTTAGGGGAAAGCCCTGGTCCTAAGAGGTCCCCTTTATTGATTATGGGTGGAACTGCATAAAAACAAATATTAAACCATTAAACACTGGTTCTTTCAAATACATGGAATACCATGAAAATCACACGGAGGATCACTTTACAAGAAAAAACAAGGAAATAACTGAAGCATTTTCTATGCTCCCTTTCATCAAGAACCCAATATAGGGTCGTACGAAAGGGTCGTGTTCAGATACAGATTATGAAGGAAAATATCTTTCTCCCTTTGTCATTATAACACTGACAACGAGGCTAATGTCCTTTCCAGAACAGTTAGCTGCATTGGTGTCAGGTTCCCAGACACAGTGTGAGCATAACCCATAAAATGCATTTTATCGGTCATTAAAGAGACCAACTCAAAGAACCAAAGACAATCAGAAAGATATTCTCCCTTTTAAAAAAACAAAAACAAAATCTTGATATGTTGGTATTATTAATACTCATATTAGCTTTGCTTTTTCCCTCAATGTATTTTATTTATTTTTCCTTTATTGATTAAGGTATTACATATGTGTCCTTATCCCTCCCATTGCCGTCCCCCGCCTCCCCCGATTCATGCCCTCAACCCCCTGGTGTCTATGTCCATTGGTTAGGCTTATATGCATGCATACAAGTCCTTTGGTTGATCTCTCCCCTTTACCCCTGCCCTCCCCTACCTTCCCTCTGAGGTTTGATGGCTAGCTTTGCTTTCTATTTATAGGTCAATGTACAGTGGATCTGTCCAAAGACACTGATGAACTCATCCTACACTGCTGATGAGAGCATATGTATTCAAACAACAGTTTTATGCACAAAAGTACTATAACTTAGCCCAGAGGGTAATTCAGAAGGAAAAACAGAGAAACTTAAGGAAGTGCCACTGAAAAATTCTCCGAGATATTTGTGAGCAGACTGATCGGGCCCTTTACATCGTTAAGCAATCGAGGTCATGGGCACCATGTTTAATTTAACATCCATCTTAATGAAGCAAGCTCCATAAACATCAAACTTTAATAATGAGTATTAATAATTATGGACCCATAAAAACAGAGTTGGAAGAGTGAGACAACTTGGGGGAAAAATGAAGCATAGTGCTCTCTCAGAACTTACTGTAGACCTTCACTTCGTAGTGCTTTATCATTTCCCCCGCCTCATTCGTGGCTACACAGGAGTATCTTCCAGCATTGTCCTCCTGTGCGTTTAGGATCTGCAGAGTCCTACCTCCTGAAAAATCACGGGACACCAAAGAATCTTTGAAATTACGGCGGCGGCAGAGCATGCACAAACTACCAAGGTTTTAATTCTTACTATTGGTATATTTTTCTTCTATATGCCAATTCTGTAATAGGTATTGAACACAAGACAAAGTACAAAACAGATGGCTGCTGCATGACCACCTCAGGCTCATTCTGATTCTCCCATGCCTCTGTACTCAGTCTAGCTAAGGTCCCTATTTCACTCTCTTTATAACGAGGTCTCTCCCTCTTAGTCATCTTCTCCTTCCCATCTACCTGGCCTATCAGTAGAGGTTGGTCTTGCTAAAATACAGTTTTTATCATGGTACATTTCTCCTTAAACATCTTCAATGGTTCTCAATTGACTAAAGAGTAAAGTCAAAACTCTTTAATCCAGGCATTCAAAACATGACTCTAACCTTCCTTCCTGACCTTTCCTCCTACCTGCCCCCCTCTGTGTAGCAGACATACACAACACACATATAACACACTGTCTCCACTCGTTTGGGAGGGAGGAGTATAATTATTATTACTTGCACATAAATAGGCTATTTTCACTTTATACCTTTCCCACCTTAGTCATTGCGATGGATCTGAAATCTCTCCTAGTTCATTTCCAAACAAAGAATTTCTATAACTTTTCTTTAAGGTCTGGTTCAAGTTCTGACTGCAGCTAAGCATTTCCTAATCACTTCAGCTCACACTGGCCATTCCTTCTTGTGACTCCTCTAAAACTTGTGACTATTCCATTAATCATGCCCCATGACTATTCATAACCCATGAGTATTCATGCATTCATGTTGTTAATTAACTTTCACATGTTTTATCTCTCCTCCACATAAGACTGTAAATTTCTTAAAGCCAGTGAACATACTTTTTAATTCTTTCTATTTTCATACATATTGCCAGGTATTAGTGAGGAACAAATAAACTCAATTGGAATACTAACTTTCAAGGCTCAATTAAACAAGAAATAAATTTCTACCCCTTTTTGTTTTGGCATTCCACATAACATATTTTAGCAATTAATTACATTGTGGTATTTATTTGCCTTTTTATTTAGGTATTTTATTAGTCTTTCAAAAAGTAATTTCAGATACCTTACATTACAGTACATATACAAATAATTTTATAAATTAAAATATCAATAGAACATAACACAACCAAGAACATAAGTACTTCAATAACAAAACTCCAATGATTCTGCTTTT